TTAGCGAAGTAAGTTCGTACGCCACACGAACCTACTTACGCCACACTCGCCGACTTGCATCGTTCGTTCTTTCACATTCGTATTTGTTATTCTTTACGTTGTTTGTTCCGCACAAACAACTACTTCGTATATATGCGCTCGCGAGTAGTACATGTAGGGTATCTAATCTTGTAACCTTCGTACTACTCTGGAATCTATCCGCACCCAACAAGGGCTAGGCGGGTACCGTTCTTACCGGTGCGATAACCTCAAGATCAAGACGACGACCTCTTATACTTTTTGAACGTCCGCAATCCTCTAACAGGTGCGCATAGTTTTATTCTTTTATTCATATCATGGGTCCGAAACCGTCTCGCGGCACCGCGAGAGGAGCAGCAGCGAGTAGCTCCAATAGGGGAACGGGAGGCACTGGTAGACAGACCAGACAGCAGAGGCGAACGTCTGATACAGACGTAGAGGGTTACCTCCATGACGATGACGATGGAGAGGACCCTGAGCAGCCTGCTAAGGGAAGCGATAGCGAGCACACAGAGGGGAGTAATAATCCTCTTGCTCAGACGCCTCCCTCCGTGCCTACCATCCCAGCGAACGCTGAGAAAATTTCCCCTCAGCAATCGGGCGAGCCGAAAAATGTCTCGGACAGCCAAGTGCGCAGACCCGAGAGTGATCGCGATCCCGATCACAGCACCGAAACTAGTAGCGGTGCACACCGAGCTGAAGGAGCTTCCGGTCTCACTGAAACCGGACGTGATCGACGATCACCAGAGCGTCGATCTCAGACGGAAGCTGATCCAAACCCTAATCGAGATCCATTGGTGGCAAAGATCACGGTTATAGTGAGCGATGCCAGAAAACTAGCGAAGACAACAACTGCGCTAGGAAGATCGACAGCTGAATCTATCAAGAAACAGAATGCAGTCCTACAGGAGTATAGCAACAGGCTGTTAGATAGTCAGGACGCTGTAGATAATCAATTAGCTAAGATGTATTCGTTGATGGACGAATTGGATGCTACTATCGAAGACGATGGTCGATATCACATAGTCGATCAAGACAGTGCTAGAGAAAGTAAAGACCTCGACGAAAGAACACCTCCACCTAGACCCACGGACAAGGGCAAAGGCAGAGACGATCGAGAGCGAACTGCTAGCGTAGATCTTTTTAAAAGGCTTCCCGGCGAAACTGACGCTGATTATAGGCGTAGAAAAATCGTCGTCCACGAGCAATTAGACCGTGACGAAGATGTAGCCGAAGAATTACAGGCTGAGAATCGAGAACGCCTGAGAGCTGAGCGTGAGCGTGCTCGAGAGGAACAAGATGCTCATATAAGGCACGCTCAAAGCCTTAAGACTGACCCGCCGAGAATGGAAGGCGAAAGCGAAGAGGCATACCGTACTCGAGTCCGGAATTTTAGAAGGATTCATGGTCCAGCACCAGAGCGCCCATCAATGGAAAGAGACCTACCTCCCCATAGAAGTCGACCTAGAGATGACAACAATGAAGTGAGATTTGATGTTAGGTCTCAAACCGAGGGTACAGAACATGGTACACCTGCACCTCGAGCTCCAGTTCGAGGATCCAGCATACTTACCGAACCGGAGAGTATTCCTCATTCTGCATATGCTGCATCTCGAACGAGCCGAGGAGACAGAAATGAAGACAGTGGTTCTGTCTTCTCAAATCAATTCGGTGAAAATTATAATCACCAAGAACATGAGTTAGAAAAGATAGTTGAGATGATTCATCATCACCTCGACTCAGAAATCACTAACTCAGCTGGAGTTTCTTTTGCTAAGACAGTTAAGCACGAACTTCCTCGTTATGACGGAGCTGACGATTCCGAAGCTCTATATAATTTCATGATGAAATTTATTCGTCATTTGCGCATGCACAAAATGAGTGGTATCGATCCCGAAATGGAACGAGAGAGAATCCTAGCACTCGGTCAAGTGCTTAAAGGAAATGCTCAGACCTGGTTCAACAACGAGTATGATACTCCTAAGGGTATGCTCAAGCATACTACCTTTGAGAGTCTCATCCGATCGATGTATCACCGATTTATTCATACCTCTAGCGCAAGAACTGCGAACGAGAAATATGAGAGCTGTTCATTTGGTGCAAAGACACGGTAGGCGGATACTATGATCGCCTACTAGCTGCAGCTGAACGAATGAGAAGTATGCCAGACACATACTCCCTGAAGAAAAAGTTCTTCTACTCGCTTCCGAGATATATTCGGAAGCAGCTCGTAGTCCCCTATCGTATCACACCTGAGGACTCTAGTCTAAAGGAGATGGTACGAATGGCGGAACACATAGAGCGTGGTCAGCATTTGATCGCTGACCTAGACAATGACGCTGAAAGAAAACCTAAGACTACAAAGGTAATATCAACGGCCAGTAACTCGTCTAGACCGAGAGAAAATACTTATAGCACTCAACGTCGAACCACGAGTACTTCTGCAACTACGCAGACGGCAGGAACAGGCAGTTCATCTCAGAATATTAATAGGGATCAGAGAACGCCGAATAGACCTGTAAATACCTCCCGAGATGACATCCGATCTCGAGACAGGAATAACCCTAGGCCTAGTACGGCGCAACATACCTCAACGCCTAAAGCAGTAGATCCTAATGCGTGTCGAAACTGCCACAAAATCGGTCACTGGGCTAGAGACTGTAAGGAGCCTAAGAGAGATCACACTGGCGGAGCTCCCAAGGGTCGTATGCACACCCAGAGAGTCGTTGACGACAGAAGCGAAGACGACGAAACCGCTGGGGCTCAACAAGATGAGTCGATTGAGGAACAGTCACCTCAGTCTAATGATCAGCCAGCGTACGGCGATTACTCTGAATCTGAGAAGGGCGCTGGAAACCAAACCAGCCCAGAGGATAATGAGTCGTCTGACGTAGACGAATATAGCACTGATGACGACAGTGACAACGGGCCCTTGTATCATCGTGCCATGAGGACTTTCGCTATGAGAATAGTGAGGGGTAGCAATGCGCACGAAGACGACGAGTCTGACGCAGAATCAGTGTCCTCTTCAGAAGAAGACGGCCATGTACTAGACGATAACGATTCGTCTATAGGCCAGTCCATGAGACTACGGATTATTCACCGCAGGCACAGTAATTCTGAAGGTGAATATAATACAGATACCGGAGACTACATGCAAGGCGTAGTTGAGACGGGTCCTGCAGTGCTGGAAAATATGTCTTCCAGAGAATCTTCGCATCTATCAAACGAAGAAAATGAAAGGAGTGATAACAGCACTCTTGAGTCGTCTAACAAGGAGAATAACACTCCGAGTGCCTCAAGCGTATTACAACCAATTGACGTGACAAGTTTATATGAAGCTTACTCACTAGGTTGGAAATATGCTCTTGAAACGGCTAAGAAAAATATTCAGACCCTCCGAGACGAGCTGGGAAACCAAGATGGTATGTCCATGCTGATTGGTGAAGGTATGAATAGAGCCGGAAGGGAAGTCGAAGCCCTTCTAAGTGACGGGAATACTTCTCCGTTATTTTCTGCTCGCAAAGAAGCATACTGTGTGGCTGATGATCTTAGCCAAAGTGTCAGTGAGCACTTGCGGAGACAACGCAAGCGTGACAAGAAGCGCAGGTATCGAGCGAATCAACGCGATCGCCTCCGAAATGCTGAGGATTTACTCGCAGAAGTTGCGGCCGAGGTCGGCGCAGCAAACAGTGATTCCCAGTCGGAGGCTGACGTGCAGATACTCGCCATGAAACCGCTTCGAGAAAAGACCAACAAGGAGGAATATCGGCCTTCCTGGGTCTACGATGCAAAGATTGTCAAAGGTGGAAAGCAACCTAAACGGGACAAGGAGGAAGCCCAGGTATTAGCAGTCGAGTTGGATATCGCCGGCTTGAAATGTTATACTCTGTTCGACTCTGGTAGCACTACAAATGCTATTAGTCCTGACGCAGCAATTGTTGCGAAAGCGCCACTGGTTGAATTGGACGAACCAGTGACATTGCAATTAGGGACAGTGGGGAGCCGATCCACGATTAATTATGGCACCCATGTCAGAGCCACGCTAGGGAGCTCGGTATTCACAACGTATTATGATGTAGCCAATATTGACTACTACGACGTTGTACTAGGGACACCGTTTATGCTACAAAACAAGGTCAAACTTGACTTCGAAAATAAAACGGTGCAGGTCAATGGTGAGAATCATCATGCTTTGTCTCTTGAGCAAGAGAAGACTGTGCGACGTCAGCGTCGCACATTTAGACGGCAAATTGACGAAGCCGTCCTCTATGGCATGGATAAACCTCCTGCATCTCGCCAGGCTTCGTATCAGCGTAATGCCCCTAAAGCAAGGTACGGCTCGAAGTCTGTAGACGAAATACTGGCGTCTGATATTGCTGCGCCCCCAACTGCGCCGCCTCCCTCTGTCTCACCTCCTCATCTACGAGTGTTCGGCAATCGTAATGTAACAGTTGAGGAAGTGGCAGAGGAGAGTGATTGACTTTCTCGTGCAGCACCTGTACCAGCGGATGCTGCTCCAAGAAAGGAGGGCGTGGTCATAGACATTGACCCTCCACCTCCGTTGAAGGACCCGGACAGACGTCCCCGGACTTCGCAATACAGTCGAAGCCGGCCCAAATCTGACTTCTCAAATATCGCTGAGAAGTCATTTCCGACTATGTCTAGCTCAGAGAAATTACCTGAGCCTCTAATCTCCAAGGACGAGCAGCGTAAGGCCCGACGCTATCTTCGAATGAAGGTAGAAGAAGCCGAAGATGCTGCTAAAGAAATCACTGACGCAGAAATTGCTGAACTGCGCCAAGCTTGGTACGAATCCGCACAAGACGTTATTTGTGAAGTACCGCTGAAGCTGCCACCTATGCGTGCGATAAACCATCGCATCCCATTGATAGATGAGTCAAAGGTTGATAAATATCACTTGCCTCGTTGTCCGGACGTCTTGAAAAGCCAGCTGCGTGACAAGATTATCCGTTACACTAAAGCTGGCTGGTGGGAGGAAAGAACCACAAATCAAGCCGCTCCAATGCTGTGTATTCCAAAGAAAAATGGAAACCTGCGTACAGTTATCGATTGTCGAAAGCGAAACGACAATACATGGAAGGACATCACTCCCTTTCCGGATCAAGACCAAATCAGAAATGATGTGGCTGCCGCAAAATATCGCTCAAAGATCGATATGAGTGATGCCTACGAGCAAATTAGGATAATGCCTGAGGACGTATGGAAAACCGCATTTTCCACTGTATATGGGACATTTGTCAGTCATACTATGCAGCAAGGTGATTGTAACGCACCTGCTACGTTCCAGAGATTGATGACTCATATTTTCCGCGAATATATTGGTGACTTTGTACATGTCTATATGGACGACATATTCATCTATTCGGATACTGTTGCTGATCATCAACGGCATATCGCTTTAGTACTCGATAAGCTTAGGAAGAATGAGCTTTACCTTGTCGCAGCTAAGTGCGATTTCTATTCCAAGCAGATGGACTGCTTGGGTCATTTAATTGACGAGCGTGGAATTCACGCTGATACTGACAAGATGGCGAAAGTACGAAACTGGCCAACACCGAAGACTTATAATGAAGTCCAGAGATTTCTGGGACTTGTTCAGTATCTGTCCAGCTTCATGCCGGATGTCTCTATGTATTCCTCGGTTCTGTCAGGAATGGTTCGAAATGGTCGTGAGTTTCTCTGGCGACCAATACACGAGCATTGTTTCCGAATGATAAAGGAAATGGCGTGTAAATACCCAGTATTGAAGCCTATCGACCCTAAGTCTGCTGAGCCGATTTGGGTGGTTTGTGACGCCTCAATATATGGTGTTGGAGCGATCTATGGACAAGGCGAGGATTGGCAGTCCTGCAGACCTGCTGGATTTATGTCAAAACGATTCACGGCTGCTCAGCGAAATTATCGTACTTACGAGCAAGAAACACTGGCAATGATTGAAGCCTTAGCGAAATGGTCTGACAAATTATTGGGACGAAAGTTTACAATTGTCACTGACCATAAAGCTCTTGAGTTTTTCGATTCGCAGAAAAACCTGACTCCCCGACAAACTAGATGGTCGGAATTCTTGCAGCCCTATAATGCAACAATTAAGTATGTCAAGGGGCGACTTAATAAAGTTGCTGACTGCTTCTCGCGTTACTACAAACGCGTTCAGGGGGAATTACCAGCGTCAGAATATGCTAATATGGACGCGAAATTAGACCCTGATGGTGATGATTTAATGCCACAGAGAGTGCTCGAATTGCGAGCCATGCAGTTGCGTAAACATCGCAAGAAGGTGACCGAGGAGTCTCGTTATCCTACATTGGTAGCTGACAAAGTCTTCCAGCGTCCACCGGAGCCTCGAGAAAATGAGGCTGCTGTTCTTGAAGAGTTTGCCGAATTAGACGTGCAAGAACCTGTAAAGGTCCGCACTTCGCTGACGGACAGACAGTATACCCTGGAAAAAGAATTACAGGGTGCACTACCTGATGTCCCTCTGGATAAAGACATACTGGATTCGTCTGAAGGATGGTTGAAGTCAGTGTACTCCAACTATAAAGACGATAGTTTCTTCAAGAAAATAATTGAAGCTCCAGAGCAACACTCGAATTTCGAGTACAATGAGAAGGCAGGTAGCCTGTGGACTTACAATAGGTCCATGGATCGTGTTCTCTGCATACCTAGTGGCAAGCTTAATGAACGCGCCTTGCGTGAGCTCGCCATTTCGTCCGCCCATGCTATAGTGGGCCATCTAGGTGCAGAAAAGACGGCTGCGTACATCAGGAATTATTACTGGTGGCCTGGAGTCGGCGCTGATGTAGAGAAATTCTGTGCATCATGCCAGACATGTCAGATGTCGAAATCGCTACCGCAGAAGCCTGCGGGATTTCTACACTCACTTCCAATACCGAATCAGCCATGGGAATCGATCGCCATGGATTTTGTGGGACCGTTCCCGAAGTCGAGCGGGTATGACTATTTGTGGGTCGTAATAGACCGGCGAACGTCTATGGTCCATCTGGTTCCGATTACCACCAAAGTTACTACTGGTGAGTTAGCGGAGTTATACCTCTGGGAAATTGTGCGCTTGCATGGGTTCCCTAGCTCTATTGTGTCTGACCGCGACACTAAATTCACTGCAGCCTTCTGGAAAGAACTGCATCGAATTGTTGGGACAAAATTGTTAATGTCAACGGCTTTTCATCCCCAGACTGATGGGGCTTCAGAGAGAGCGATTCAAACGATCTCAAAAATGCTTCGATCCATGGTGGAACCCACTCAGACTGACTGGGTGGAGTGGCTGCCGATGGTAGAGTTTGCTTTGAACTCTACAGTCTCATCAAGCACGGGATACGCGCCGTTCGAATTGAATTACGGTTATATGCCCCGCTGGATGACTACTCCAGTGGGGGAGAGTCCCTATCGCGGTGTATCGTATTTTGCAGAGCGTGCGCGGGCGAACCTGCTCCGTGCTCACGATGCTATTATCGAGAGCCGTGTGAATCAAACTTACTACGCCAATAAGAAGCGGCGTGAGTCTCCTGAATTTTTCAAAGGACAACTTGTGTACTTGAGCACGAAGAACCTTAATCTACCAAAAGGACGCGCTCGGAAATTATTGCCCAAGTTTGTAGGGCCATATCCAGTCACCCGAGTGTTTGAGAACGAATCTGTGTGTGAGCTAAGGCTGCCTGAGGCCTTGGTGAAGCGCAGGATTCACCCTCGCTTTCATGTGAGCCTCCTTCGGCCACATGTGGCTAATAATGATGCCATCTTTCCGTCCCGAGACGTCTCGGCTGTCTACGACTTTGGACAGCCTGATACTGATGAAGTGTATTTCACTAGTATTGTCGGTCATGTATGGGACGGGTCCTCTGTTCGTTTCATAGGAACCCTGTCAACGGGAACCGTTGAGTGGACCAGCTTGGCAAAAGTTCGCCATACTGAAATATTGCGCGAGTATTTGGCACTTCGAGGAGTCGCCGATGTCTCGGAGCTTTCTAAGACACCGTCGATCCCTGGGAATAACCATTCCTAAAATCTTTCCGATCTCAATCGACCGCGGAGATCGGGCGGATGTTTCACTTGTTGACGCGGAGTTGCGTCAAGTGAGGGAGGGATCGGGAGAAAAATAAAATCGGTATCATTCAGTGCCGAGCCTCCCGAAAGAGAGAAATTTTACGAACATGCTCTTATAAAATTGTTTGACTCCGAAACAATTTGGGCTCGTCCTATCTCTTTCCTCTCCCCTCATCACACCATGGATAAAGCTCAATCTACCGAGTCTACTACGCAAGCGCAAGCCAGCGCTCAGTCTGAGGCGACCTCGGTCTCTCAAGGTGCGATAGAAGATCTGTCTCTTGCCCTTGAAGACATCGTTCACCTCGACGCTCTTGCAGGGACTGAGCTCACTAGTTCTCCATCGAATGCAGTCGCTGTCAACTCGACGGCGGTCTCTCCTACTGACGAGGAGATCGATGAATTAATGGATACTGGTGAGCCTGAGCTACCCGCAGACTTCGACCCTTCGAAGACTGACGAAGGCCAAAATCAAGTGCCCGATGAATCTAACATCGATCATGCACTTAATAAACCGTCGAACTCTACGACGATACCCACCGCAAGTGGTGGAGCAAAGCTCGATAGCGAATTCGCTAAAATCGAGCAGGAGTTCAACTCCACTGGCGGTTCTGCCTGGAACCCAGCGCTATCCGTTCCGCAATATCACCACGGAACTAGGACTATCCTACACTCGCCGAGACTTTGCAGAAGCTGCAAAGAGCGAGTTGTCCATATGAACGGATGCTACAAGTTCCCGGGAATGACGGATGCTATCGCCGCTCGTCAATCCAACGACGAGTCCGTCATAGCTGAGGCCAAGAAGTCCCAATACTCCGAAGACACTCGGAAGCACTACGAGATCGTCAAACATAAAGACGACAAGATAGTTGCACTTACCGCTGAAACCACGGCGCAACTAGAGACCATCAACGGGCTCAAGATCGAGCTCAAGAATGCTAACTCCGAGCTCGAGGAGACTAAACGCAAAGTCGTCGATCAGAGCATTCAAGTCAAACTTCTTAAGAAGCAGCTCACCGACGCTAGCGAGTCTAAGTCCAACAAGAAGAAGCATAAATCTTCTCCCAAGGCGAAAACTGGCGCCTCAGCTCAGGATAGTGAGTTGACATCCTCTGCCAATCCAGCTTCGCAGAAAATATCTACGACTTCTAACGACGAGCCTCCAGCCATAGTAGACAACGATGTGTCTATGGAGGTCGAGAATCCACAGACGGTTGAACCTATCAACCTCATCTCTACAGGAGAACCCGAAGCCGAGATTGTCTCGAGCGTTGGATGGCCTTCCAACACAGACAAGTCGAATACCACCGACTTAACGAACCCTGAGACGAAACCAATCGTCCTCAACTCCACTCCTGACTCTTCTACCCCGGATAACACGGAAACCTACCTGGATCCGTTCGGGAATAGTTGGGAGGAGCGCCTTGTGCCTATCGCCTGCTGGAACGACATCAACTTTGGCGTTATCCAAGCCCGCAAAATGCAGCAGGAAGCTCTCGCTCAATTGGCTTCATCCCTGAGTAGCACCAGCTCAGGGAATAAACGTAAATTCAATCCCGATAGCGGGGACAGTTCCTCCGGCACTTGGACGAGAGTATCTCACTCGAACTCTAGGAACGCTCCGAGCCAGAAGATGACGGGCAATTCCCCATCTCCGAAACGTTCCAAGACCAATGGGAACCGTCGCGATGTCGTTCGTGACTACTCCTCCATTCCGGTGAAGTACACCAAGGAGGATGGCACGGCTTCTTATGGCCAAGCTCCTCTTACCCCTACCGAGAACGCATCGGACGCTGCTTGGGCTTCATACTACAGCCATCCCAGCGTTAACACCCCTCAGGGTGCAGTCCAAGACAACCAAGGACATCTCTCTCTCGCCTGGGTCAAGACTCACCGATTCTTGGCTAGGATCGGGCCTTCTCCCCCTCCGGAAGACGCTCCGAGGCATATCAAAAATGCCATCAAGAAGGGAGTCAATCGCTTCAAGCGATTTGTGGCCCTTCAAGCCTCCGTTCCTGGAAATCTACAGGAAAAATGGGTCGAGCATGGATTTAATTCACTCGAGCCCATCGGCCCCAAGGTCGGACGTATTACCGACCTCGATGACGTTCCTATCCTCAAACATCTGAGGCTCGCAATCAATAACGCTCAGCTGTTGAGCGAAATCGAGTTCTGGGCTCGTACGCGCCGAAACTGCACGGAGAAGCTAGCCAATCACTACGATGGCGATTACTCCTCGGCGCCGAACCAAGCTTCCCTGTTCGAGTTACGACAGGCGAACGCGAATCGAGGACACGCTGTCTCTCAATCCCATCCCACCTCGCAGTGGTCGACACAGACCCAAACGGTGATGCCTGATATAGGCCAGACCCTCCAACCGATGGCCAACTCTTTCCATGACTTTGCGGCGAATCCCCTGCCTACCTTTATGCCGATCGGTCCGACGCCAATTCAACCTATCCCCATTTCTACCCCGTCCCACCGATCGCTAGGCATCGCTCAGTCCTCGTTATCCTCAAACGAGTATCGGAACAATTCGAGTCTGCCATTCGGTCAGACTTACTCTGGACCTATTCAACCGTTGAACAACAACGGCTATAACTATCAGGCCAACCAGTTTGGTGTTCAAACGAACAACGCGTACTATCAAGCGGGGCAGAACTCCTTACCGAGCATCGCAAACTATGCGAACGGTCAAGTTGCTCCGCAGAGTAATTACTACTCACCTCATGGGATTCAGAGCTCGTACTCTCAGCCACCTCCTCCTGCCTCGACTCCTCCTCCTCCTCCTCCTATGATGGACATACGTTGATTGCATGAGCCGAGTTCGGCTCAGTGAGGGAGAGTGTAAGGCGGCAGAGTTATGCGAAGTAAGTTCGTACGCCACACGAACCTACTTACGCCACACTCGCCGACTTGCATCGTTCGTTCTTTCACATTCGTATTTGTTATTCTTTACGTTGTTTGTTCCGCACAAACAACTACTTCGTATATATGCGCTCGCGAGTAGTACATGTAGGGTATCTAATCTTGTAACCTTCGTACTACTCTGGAATCTATCCGCACCCAACAAGGGCTAGGCGGGTACCGTTCTTACCGGTGCGATAACCTCAAGATCAAGACGACGACCTCTTATATGTCTACAGCATATGCCCGTATTGAAGGTAGAATGAGATCTTGCTTTGTGATTCAGAGCATGTCGGCCAAGGCGATCACGACCGTGTGAACATCCACTACCTGAACAAAGGAAAACAGCGCCTTCGTTGATACCGGAGACGAAGCAACGTCCAAGGAGAAACAAGCCAGTACCAGAGGGGTGTATGCCACA